TACCGCCAGCTGCTGCTGACCGCTGACGACCGGGTGAACCCCTGCATTGGGGGCGTCATCCTCTTCCATGAGACTCTCTACCAGAAGGCGGACGATGGGCGCCCCTTTCCCCAAGTTATCAAATCCAAGGGCGGGATCGTGGGCATCAAGGTGAGGGGCCTGGATATGTAGGAAGGTAGTCCCAAGGAGTGGGGTGGGGGTGACATTGGCTTGGGGGAGCACAAGTCATCATGTGCGGTGTCTGCCCAGCTCGCCATCCAAGGTTTCCCCGTGGCGTTCGGAGAGAGGGGCACTGATTGTATTTGAGAGGTGAGAAGCGCGGGGCTCGGGAATTCAAAGTCAGTAAGCGGCAGAGCCCCAGCCTCCTGACAGACAGTCCCGGCAGGCTCAGATGCTCTCAGAACGTCGTCTGCAAGCCATGAGCTGCTTCTTGAGGGCTGAAGGGGGAGGTTCAGATGGACTGCCAGTGGGGAAAGGGCCCTGCACATCCCTCTCACATGTACCACCACACCCATCACATATAACGATCCCAACAGGTCGACAAGGGTGTGGTGCCCCTGGCAGGAACGAACGGCGAGACCACCACCCAAGGTGAGAACTATTTATTTGGTTCCTTCCCCCATGGACTCAGTCTGCCGAGGTTGGCACCCCTCTTGGGTGCTGAAGGTGAATGAGCGCCTTGTGTGCCTCTGCCTGCCCACCCCACCCTCCCGCCCATTCTTTTGTCTCCTCTTTAGGGCTGGACGGGCTGTCTGAGCGCTGTGCCCAGTACAAGAAAGATGGCGCTGACTTTGCCAAGTGGCGCTGTGTGCTGAAGATTGGTGAACACACCCCTACAGCCCTCGCCATCATGGAAAATGCCAATGTGCTGGCCCGTTATGCCAGCATCTGCCAGCAGGTGGGTCTGCAGGTCCCCCCACAGGGCTCCTCCCACCTCCGGAGTGTCAGCTCGCCTGCCACCCGTCTGCCAGTATGCTACCCTCCCTCGGGGCAGCTGTCCCTGACACTCACATAGGCCCAGGTCGGGCACCAGGCTTGGCCTTGCTGAGGCCACTCGGAAAGGCTCTCTCCCCGAGCACAAGGGGCAGGGTAGGGATGGCGTGGGTGGATCTGGGGGCCATTCCTGCCATCTGCTGAGGGCTTTGAAGCAAGAGCTTGGCGGGTGGGGCTTCTGGGCAGCAGGCCTCACCACACGGCTGCCCTTCCCTCACCCGCAGAATGGCATCGTGCCCATTGTGGAGCCCGAGATCCTCCCCGATGGCGACCATGACCTGAAGCGCTGCCAGTATGTCACTGAGAAGGTAGGTGGCTGACCCGGTGGCCGGGCAGTGCTGGGGGCTGAGCTGGCGAGCCCTATGTGTGATCCCTGTGCCCACCCCGCCTTACCCCAGGTGCTGGCTGCCGTCTACAAGGCCCTGAGTGACCACCACGTCTACCTGGAAGGCACCTTGCTGAAGCCCAATATGGTCACCCCCGGCCATGCCTGCACGCAGAAGTTTTCCCATGAGGAGATTGCCATGGCAACTGTCACCGCATTGCGCCGCACCGTGCCCCCTGCTGTTACCGGTGAGGCCTGCACTCTTGCTCTGCCAGCCTTTGGGCTGGCTTCCAGGGCAGCAGCGTTTGGGGTTCCCACCAAGGCCCCTGGGTCCCCTGACAATAGCCCCACCTCATTTGTTCTGCAGGGGTCACCTTCCTGTCTGGAGGCCAGAGCGAGGAGGAGGCGTCCATCAACCTCAACGCCATCAACAAGTGCCCCCTGCTGAAGCCATGGGCCCTGACCTTCTCCTACGGGCGAGCCCTGCAGGCATCTGCCCTGAAGGCCTGGGGTGGCAAGAAGGAGAACCTGAAGGCGGCCCAGGAGGAGTACATCAAGCGAGCCCTGGTAAGGCTGGAGCAAGGGGTGGGCAGGGTGCCCGGCTTGCATGGGCTTCCAGGGAAAGGAGAGCGCCTCTCACTACCCCCCTTTCCCCTCAGGCCAACAGCCTCGCCTGCCAAGGAAAGTACGCTCCAAGCGGTCAAGCTGGGGCTGCAGCCAGCGAGTCCCTCTTCGTCTCTAACCACGCCTACTAAATGGAGGTGGTGTGAGGCTGCCCCCTCAACACTCCAGGCCCCCCGCCCCCTCCCATGCCCACCTCTTGATGGGAGGGCACCACCTGGGCTCCAGGCCACGCTTTCCTCTCACTCTCGCCGCCTATGTGACAGTGGTGTGCGGTGTTGTCTGTGTATGCTAACTCCATCGCCCTT